ATATATTAAAAAAGGTTGTCTATAAATACAGGTCAGTACTTTTTATTAGATTAACTGACAATAGATGTCGTTCACACTACACTGCGAATATCAGTAATCAACGCAAAACGGTGAAGCTTGGAGTAAATTAAAATATTCATTTTCCCATGCAAAGGAAAAACAGTTTTATTCGTCGACCGTTAAGCTTTACTTTATCTATTGTTTCAGAGAGGACCTTTCTTGCTTAACTCCTCTATTGGTGTGAGTGTCTCTGTATGTTTGGCTCCTTTCGTCATCACTTACAACAGGCAAAAGGTCGCATTAATTTTGCCAAAAAGTTCAAATTTTCTTTTTATCTGTAACTTACGTTTCAATTATAGCTTTTGCTTATTACTTCAGTATCGTAATAAAAGACCCAGTCATGACAATTAATAAAATATCCCAACATGAATATCTTCAGCAAAAAACAAAAACAAAAAACCTAAATAATGATCTACAGGCAGATTGATATTGTTCATCTCCAACTTGTAAATTAGTACCGGTAGACGAAAGTCAGATATGACACAAGATCTTCACAGCATTGCACGGTAGGCTCAAAACGCCATCAAACCTTATTCTGCATTGTAAAATACTAAACATATCGAAACTGTTACAGGAATGTTGATGATTCATAAAAAATCACATGTTAGATAAGCCTATAACTGTTCAAAGATATTGGTATACACATGGCCATGACGTAGTTTTCGATTTTATTGTGTACTGTATATGGAAGATTTATAAATAACATTTAACTTCAAATTTTTTAACATATTTTCAAATTTGAATTTTTTGAAATTCTTAAACTTACTTTGAAACACACCACTCGTTACAAAAACAACTTTAAAACAATTTAGTACTGTATAGGTTCAAATTTATTTTTTATTGATCAAATGACACATAATGACCAGTTTTAATGGTTTTGTCTGAACACGATACGTATGGTAAAAACTGCGTGACATATAAATATGAACACCACTAAACTATAGGCCTACCTATTGCTATTTTTCATGTACAATCATTTTTAAAAAATCCATTTTTTTACTGTATTCATCAATTGAGTTTTGACTATGAATGTTAATGCCACTACTTGATACATCCATATTTCACTAAAATATATCTATATATATATTATAACACTCTATTAGCACCATAAAAAAAAACATTAGGCCTAGTCATGTTTATTCCCCCACCTCCCCACTTTGGAATACTCAAAAACTAACGTGAACCTAGCACCAATCATCTTCATCAATACGCCTAAATTACTTTAGCTAGCAACCACAACTAAAACAATGGCAACTACAATGTTCACCAAACATAATAATATTAGTACAGTAATTATTATTAATGTTATCATTATTATTAGTATTATTATTACTATTTTGAAGAGTTTGCTAGCCGAATTCCTCTGAGACAACCATCTCCCATTAAGATCAACATTTCCCATATTGAAGCCATTTTTGGTTTCTTTTGTTTCAAGTACATAAATTCGAATCAACCGCCGACTACTTTTTCCCCCTATGTAATGAGATAGATGTTGGTGAATGTCTAAACATTTTATACGTCAAACATACTAAAAATCTGCCAAACCTGAACATTGGAAACTAGTTGTAATATTTTTCTTTAAACTGTGGAGTGGTACGGCCTGTTAGCATTTATTATTTTGGTTTATTCTACACTTTTCATAGACAAAATTTGTTTTAATTGTATCAAATATAAATCTCATAGAAATACCAATGGTATCGTATGACAATGAACTCACAAAGGAGGGTGAACTTGAGTGATTCAGGCCAAATCTCAATACGTGTAACTTATTTAAATCTATTCAAGCTTTACCTCAGATATCTTGCAGAGAGGCGGGATGCTGGTCAATTTTGGCAAGTTAAATAGCTTTGAAATTCAATTTCCAAATGAACTTGTTACAGATCAATAAAAAAATAGCAAATTAAAGACTTCTAATTAAGAACAAAAACTGAAAATATCAAAAATAAATAGATTAAATTTGGCGAGCGTATAAATACAAAGAATAACAGGTACGTACCATGGTCAGAAAATGGCTCAACGGCAAACATTGTTAATTTTATTTTTACACTACAAATTCTAAGAGCTAAACATACGATAATTATAATGATCATAAACATTTTTGGTGTTTTTGGTAATGATCTAACAAAATTCGCGCATAAAGAATAGCGCATGTCTATAGGTGACAAATCTTTTATTAACCATGGATATGTGTTATGCTAATTCACAAAGATTAAGAACTGTATTATAATCTTTAAAAATAAAAAAAAAACTTGTTATCTTGATGAAACTAAAAGTTTGCACAATAAATCCTGTTGATATATATGAGTAATCAATTGTAAATTTAAAAAGAAATATGACACAGCATTTGACTTTGCAGTTGATGTAAAACATATGTGTATACTATGAAGTTATAGCGAGTTTCGTTTGCTGATGGTATTGAATCAATGTATGAACTGGAACCCGACAAACTCAATAAGTGGACATTAGATTATCCATGAAACATTCATCTAATATTTCAGACTGATTACACTATATAACATTTAAGTTCTTGCTATTATATTATTACATTTTTATTTAAATTTCGAATTGGGCATCTTAGATTATCCATCAGATAAGTTTGATCAAATGAAACTTTCATCTAATATTTCAGACTGATGACACTATATAACATTTTAGTTTTTGGTATTATTGTTATAGTATTTTTATTTAAATTTTGAATTCATTCATGAATTTTTCAAAGTCTGATCTCTAAATAGATAAATCAATCGCAGAATTGGAAATGAGCAAATAATCTTGTGAAAAAAGCAAAATAGTTTGGTTTAGAAGTGAACCAAGTCAGAGGAAATGAGATATTACCAATGTGAATAAAAGTGAGAAATAGATAAAGATTTATTACGGAAAAACCCAGCTTTAATAGGATTTAATATAATTATTATTTGATAGAGAGGTAACCTAAAAGTAAAAGTTTGGTAAGTTCAGGTTATTTTGAGGTCATCGAAAAGGAAATTTTTAAAGTAAAACATCTAAAGCATTATTAAAGTGCATGTGTTTCCACCTACAACTGGCAGGTCTTCCATATGCATCCTTCCTGTTCCTATCTCTTACTGATTGACCAATTATCCAATTTCCTGGCATACAGCTATAAACAATAGCTTCCTGAATCTGTAACAATAATGTAGCCTTTGATTTCCTAAGACCTAATTGTTAACAACTTAGGCAGGAACATATAATATACTAATGTAAATTTAATATACTATGGTAAACTGTATCAAACATGTTATATTTTCATTGCGGATTTTTTGGGCTCAGTACGGACTCTAAACGTATGCATTTTCTTTTAGTTTTAAGGCGTATGCATACTGTCACTGTCTACTTTTTTGTATCCAACTCTTTACAATAAAAGCAAACTACATCTATATATTATCTTGAAGATATAGTTTGCCTCTAAAACACCCAAGATCTTCCATCACTATCGGTGTTTAAGAAACGATAAGATTTTACCAGTGGCGTATCTTGAAGTCTTGAAATGGGGGAGGGGGGTGCTGATGGGTAGCCGGAAGGTAAAGTGGGAGGAGCTCAATGATCAGTTGATGGGCGCTAATTCGCAAAATAAGGTGATTTTAGGTGATTTTTAACTACTTGACCGTGATTTTTGGGGGAAGGGCGACTGGGGGGGGGGGAACACCCCCGCGCCCACCCCCTGTAGATACGCCACTGGATTTTACAGTTCACCTACCAAATTGAATTAGACCAAACACCAGTATCACTTGATCAGAAAATAAGAATTATGATGCATACTAGCCATGCATTAAACTGCTGGAAAGTTATAATGTTAAGTGTTTTTTTTTCTTTCTCTTAAGCCTACTTCTTGATCTTACAATGTTTATTTATTTACATTTCAAGATGGCTAACCACATAGAGACTTTTTTGGTAATTTGCATAGTGCATAAAAATAAAAGAACAAAATATCGCCAAGATAATGTACAGATGACAAATAAAACATCTGTAGGAAGTGGAACTGTTTTTGGACATATGTTATTGATTTAAACTGTACACTTGAACAATATGAATTCCAAGTGGTTGGAAGTACGATGGACCACTTTATGTCTATAACAATTGCAATTCTTGTTTATGGATCCACAAATGAGACCATGATGTAGCGAATTCCTTTGGTTGTCAGAAGTCCTTCATGGTAGTGCGTTAAGCGCCCAGGGTGTATAAGTGTTTGACCAATTCCAGAGTCTGTCACGCTGCAATTGTACCTCAGAAAACGACAGCCACCACCCTAAAAGAAGTAACAAATATGATTTCGTAATAAATCAAAGTTTGTAAAGAAACACAATTGGCTGAATCCTGCCCTCATCCATTTGAAATAGATCTAGGGAAAAACACAAAAAACATTCATTACAACATCGAGTAGGGCCTACACCCAAAAAGGTCACATTTTATAATTAAACACATATTAAACTTAATAGGTTTTAATTTTACTACAAAACATAAACCATTATTACTGATTCAACAGCCAACTTGCATGTCTAGAGTACACAACTGTACTATGTACATGTTTGTTAATTGATGGGGAAATATGTTATTAAATCAACTGAAGGCTAATAATTCAGTTTTTTTAGCAGTAGTAGTAAAACACCTGTAGCAGCAGAGCACCAACAGCAACAAAAACAGAAAAAAATAACAGCAACAGCAACAAAAGCAGGAGCATACGGAAACAGCAGCAAGAGCTTCATGAGCAGCAATGTAAAGGCCAACTCAGACAGCGTCGTACGACGCAGCCTGACGTGATTTGTTGTCGCGTCGGGTCTGTGTGAGTTAAACGCAGACGCGATGGTGTGCGTCGGGGGCAGTCGCGTCGTAGAATATTAAACATGTTAAATATTCCTCACGACAGCTTAAGACTGTCCCCGACGATACATCGGGTCGGGCTGCGTCGGCCGACGCTGTCTGAGTTGGCCTTAACAGTAGCAGCAACAGTATACTGCAGTAGCAGCAAGAGTAACACCAGCAACAACAGTACACTACAGCAGCTGTAGAGTAACAACAGCAGCAGTAGCAGAAACAACAGTAAGGACTTTTCGATTTGAGTGGACGTGGACGGCTTTCCGCGTGAGTGGAAAATCCGAGCAGTCGACTGGTACTTGTCCACTGGTTATCTGAACGTTTCGATTTAAATGAACGTCCATGTTGACACGTCAGTGAACTTATGACCTTGTGATCTGGGGTTTTCCCGTGTTCACGCGCGCTATTCGAATACACTGGCCGTGGTATCTTACTCAACACTCAGGTACTGTAGTCTACGCAGCTCAACATGGCAAATCTTCATCGGCTTCGCGAATCCCTTTGGTATATCCATGGGGTATTCAGGGCAGGGAGTTGTAAAAACATAAATCTCCCTGTTGAGGGTGCACCTCTCCTTCTTTGTTCAATATAGGATTCTTTTTTTTTTTAACAGATCACTGAAAATTATTTTCTTTTTCCTGGATACGCCCGGCCTGACTGAAGGCTGGCGGCCTCGCCAGCTAGCCTAGGCTTAGGTTCCCTTGGCCTACATTAGCTAAAATAGGCTAATTAATTAATTACCTAATTATCCACTGAATTTGATCCAAAATAATGGATAATTCTATAGTTTGCAAATAGGACATAACTTAACCGAAATGCTTTTTACTTACATCCCCAGTAGAAGATAATTTTGCCAAATTAAGAAGCACCGCGACATCGTCCTCCATCATGAATCAAAAGTTTGTTGTGATATACTTGTTATCTCAGTCAGAGAGCGAACGTCAAAACGCTGCAGAACACGTTCTCAAATTTGGCAGTCATCGCATTAGTTGACTTGACGCATGCGCAAGTCATCAAAACTACGTCATAGGTTATCAGTCGACATAGTGGACGTGCAAATCGAAAACTTCTTATTAGCAGCAGTATGCTGCAGCAGCAGCAAAGTAACAGCAACAGCAGTAGCAGAAAGAGAAAGCAGCAACAGCAACAGTTTAAAGCAACAGCAACAACATCAGTATACTGCAGAAGCAAGAGTAAAAGCAATAGCAACTATACCTGTTGACTACAAATAAAAACCTTTTAGATTTCAGTCGACATGTAGCGCGCGCTAGGCAACCTTATTAAGCAGCTGTGTCATGGCGAACATTCATCGACTTCGCGAAATTGTTGTCTTTGCATACCTACATGATTGTGTCTTGGACGATGAGGAATTCATGTTTTTATACAATACAAATAAACCCAAAAATGCCGAATTCAGGTACCGAGGTTATCAGAAATTTGATCTAGACAAGTACAACAATGATGTGAATGTAATGCATAGGCCTACTTCAGGGCGCATCCGGTGCGTCAACTGCGATGATGCAGATTGTTAACAGGCCTCCCCGGCCAGCTGCGCTCGCTGCGGTGCAAGTTTTCATTTCATGCACACTGGCGTAAGCACGCTCATGAACCTCCACAGCCTTTTTTGTGTTAACGAAGGCAGTAGAAATTACATAACTGCCTGTGCATTAAAAAGCAAATAATACAAATTAATTCAACACAAGTTAGAAACTTCCCCCAGACTCTGTCTCTGCCTCAGTTGGACGAACCAGTGAAGGCAGCGTTGCCACTATATTTTCATCTTCCATCTTTAAACTTCACAAGCGAGCACGGCGTCCTAGATTTCGGACGACGGGAAAAACGAGGTGAACACGTTCTCGATTTTGGTAGTGGACGAGGGAGACAACGTAACGCATGCGCAGTGCTTTAAAATGACCTCATCACGTAGCAGTCCACTATGTCGACGTGCAAATCTAAAAGTCCCTAATGTTTCAGTTCACAACAATATCGTTGTCAATACAGCATCAGCAAAAGTTTGTGTTATCAATAGTTACCACTAAGGTAGTAGTAGAGGCTTTTTTTAAATATTATATTTATACAGATTACAGCTGTCAAAACACATCCTGCTTGTCGGTACATGTGTTTCTGATTGATTGTTTATAAAGAAAGTTAGACTAGGACAAGATATGCTGAAACCTGCCTTATTGTCTGTGTACAAATGCCCCCTTTAGCAATACGAAGATCAACAATTTGTGGATGCAACTTTAGTGTATTCATTAATTGATCATGATTATATGCTGAATGTCCACAGGCAAAATGACAACCAAAGCACTTGGGAATTTTGATAATTTTACCATATAGTATCATATCAATTATTAGTTATTTAAATGATACAGGTTTTTTTTTTCTTAAAGGTCTTTTCTATGGATTGGTTAGCAGGCAAGTTACAGTTGAATCATCACTATTCTAGTGATATTAGTTACAGAGTATAAAATGTTTCAAAATAAGCAATTAGTATGGTTGAGTATAATACACTAGTCGAAAATATTATACAAAGGTTAGATTAATGCATGGACAATTTCATAAGGGCTTGCAAGGCCCGAAGGGAAGTTTTGAATGCATTAACCTTAAGGCTAAATTTTGGTTTATAAAGTCAATCACCGCCTTTTAATGTTAGTATTGTAATCACCAGTTGTGCACGTAGAGTTGTGCATATTCTGATATTTTGATGCAGTAGCCACTGACAACACTCACTTGAAATGGTAGAGCACTGTACAGTAGTTGTACATACAATGAATAAACAATTGTGTTTGAAGAACTTTTCGCAAGTTTATTACTGAATAATGTACTGGATATATATTTGTATACAAAGAATATCATAACCTTTTTGGAAAATAAACATGTTTTTTGGTCGGTAAAATCGTATAATTTTATTTAGGGCTCATCCTACTTAAGAGAAAGCCTACATCGAAATTCATTTCCTGAGACCTTAAATGCCATTTCCAACAGTGATAAATGTCAAAGAAATAGCATTAAGAAAACTAACAAGAAAATTATTGAAATTGTATTCACCTACCACTGCACCAGTACTGTATAATAAAAAAAATCCAACTTTGGAAAATTACATTAATACGTTTGGCAACCACTATATATAATCTAATTTGCATAATGTTTATGAATCATAATTATTGTTATTAAATAATAAACAAATGATAGCTGAAATGAAATACGACAGCAATTTATAATTTGTGTAAACTGTTGTTGGAAATGTTAAACCTTTATGTTACATGTTTTAACAAGAAGAAACAAAAGTGAGAATGTATTTGATACTTAATTATGCAGGCTTGGACTTAAGATGATTTATATCAATTTCTAACAAGCTAAGATATTTTCATAATCCTGACAAAACTTAATCCCAAGTTACTCCTGAAAAAGAAGTGAAACTATATTAAAGTAGCTGCTAATATATGGAAAGACAAAACAGGAATTGGTAAATAATGTATGTCTATCTTAATCTATCTCTTTCTAAATACTGGATTTTAGCATGTCAAATTATCAGAGCCTTTTAATACAAATCAAATCTAGAATATGGTTTTGCCTTGGTGGTCTTAAAATTTATTAAAATTTCCCTGTCCTGAATACAAGCCTTCTATAGTGATAAACATCACATAAACTTTACTTAAGTATAGAGCCTTCAGCCACGGGTGGCACCAGGGGAGGGGGGTCGCATGGCCAGTGCCACCCTTCAGAAAAGCTACTCTCCCCCCACTCCCCGGTTGGGAAGAAAACCACAGTTTGTTTGTGAGAAAAAAAAAAAATTTTTTTTCTACATACTGGTAGACTCTAAAATAAGGCTACGTAGAATAGAAAGGTCCTTGGGTGGATTGCTGTGTGAGCAGTCTTTAGACGGTCTTAACACTTAGCCAGCTATAATAGTGACAGCACTCCTTGTCTATGATTATAGACCACTGCTGTACTGCGGTCTAACCAGTCTTAAGTTTTAAAGCCTACTCAGAGGAGGCTCAAATCGGTCTTAAATCATTTTCATCATGGCGTTAGAGGTAGAATATTCCACCAGCATCTCAGCGTCTGTAAAAAGCGGTCTATGTTTACTTACGTTCATTTTGGTACATGTGCATGTGTCGAGCAAGCCTGACGTATATGTAAAAGCGCCCTCAATTTTATGTTACCAGGGAGTGCTTCTTTGTGTTTCAATACTCAAAGCGGTCTAAGTGAAGGACATTTTATAGCAATGGTCTTAGCCGAGTGGCTTTAGTAAGACCGTCTAAGTGATAAAGCCGGCATTATTCGAGGAGTTAAGACTACCAGTTAAGACCGTTTAATAGCAATCTGCCCTTGGGTTCAATTGCCACCAGTGTTGCAAGGTTTTCCTCATGACCAAAATAAACACCATACACTGAGCCTCACATTGAGATTTAGTGTACAGCATCATGTGTGCGTATGTTTGTCTTGTTATAGGGATTGTCAACTACTCATAGGACAGTGGATTGGATTGGATTTATTCGGTGTAAACACCAAGGATAGCCCACAAAAGTCTAGAAGAAGACTTATTTCCAGTGGGGTCCTTCTGCTGGTGATTGGGCAGTACACCGGGAGACAATCCCCTACTCTTTTCCGAAGAGTGTACTGCGTTCTTTAACATGCACATGGGCCATAATGCACAGGGGACCAACGGCTTAATCATCTCATCTGAAAGACGGTGCGCTATTGTAACTTGTATTTCAGCCCTCTAGCTGAAACACAAGGAGAGGCAGTGATGGGAATTGAACCGGGGACCTAGATATCTCCACGGTTCAGCGCACATACAGCGGCTACCACTAGATTAGCCGAATGAGCTAGCTGCTCTCTCAAACTTGGCAATTGTTGGAGGGTGTGTGTGTGTATGGGTGTATGTGTGTGTGTACAAGCCTATATAAATAAAAAAGTAAAGATAAACATCAACATCATCATCAGTAACAACATCATCGCCATTATTAACAACAATACTAAAAACATCATCACATTAAAAAAAAAAAAAACATCATCAATGCTGTTGCCACAGATGTCATTGTCATGACATAATTATAAATAATTTTAATCTTTTGCCGCTCCGAAATTATGGAACTCTCTTCCACTTAAACTTTGACCAACCTCTGATACCGGTGTATTCAAGAACCTCTCTTTAACCAATAATTCTTAATTATTATCTTAAGCACCAATGACAAATTATATTTTTTTATCAGACGCTATACATATTCTCAAATTAATAATTTATTATTATTACCTCCGCCAACGAAGTTGACAGGAGGTTATGTGTTTGCCCGTTTGTTCATTTGTCTGTCGGCATATTTGTTAGGGCCTACAGCCCATAGTTTTTTTTTTCAGAAATTCGTCAAACCTCACCACAATTAAATTTTGAAGGGTCGGGTCAAAGATCAAGGTCACAATCAACAAAAAACTGTTTTATTTATTTGTTTACAGCCCATAGTTTTAATCACAAACTTGTCAAACTTGGTCACAATGTTCCACGATCAAAGATCTCAAAGTATTTGAATGTTGAATGGTAAGGGTCAACAGAGGTCAAGGTCACAATCAACAAAAAACAATTTTTTGAATCAGTTTTTATCAGAAATTTGTCAAACTTGATCACAATGTTCCTTTACCAAAAATCTGGAAGTGATTAAGTTTTGAAGGGTCAGGGTCAAAGGTCAAGGACACAATGATCAAAAAACTACTTAAGTTAAGTACAGTATAACTGTCTGCCGTGTGTGTGGGCTTGCCGGTAAAGAGTAAACAAACATATGACCATATTTTTTTTTTTATGGGGAACAATATGCAGGAGAAATTTATACTGAGGAGAATTATGATGTGGGTGGAGATATTATTATTTTCTTGTTATTATCATTATTGTTATTATTATTATTGTTATTATTATTGTTTAATTATTATCATTATTGTCATTATTGTTATTATTGTTATTATTATTATTATTATTACTATTCAGTTCATTAATTTCAAATTTACTGCATGCGTATATGTGGATTAAATTAGTATTACAATCTAGATCCCACATTTAGAACCCTTAACTAGGAAAAGTTATAGAAATGCAGCAGCAGCGGTTTTAACGAGGTCAACAAGATAGCTAATCAGATAGCTTTATTATCAATGACAGCAGAACCCATTCTGAAAGTCTTAAGAACTCAGAATTATTCAATTAGCACAGTAATGTCCATAAAACTACATAAGGAAAGTGCAATCTGGTGTGTCAGCCTCTGGTCAAATTCGTTGTAAGATTTAAAAGCTAAGTAAGTTAAAAGCCCTAGTAAATCCATTTTTATAAACTTAATCATTTATTTCAACAATATTTTGTAAGGGTGTGTCCATCCAGCCTCAGCCTATCAATTGGGATCCTCAGTACCCAAACTATAAAAATTTAAAATTAAACTACTGTAGACATTTAAAATTAACAAATTAATTAAATTAAAAAAGAGAATACCACAAAAATATCCACTCACCAGTGGCTGTAGTTGAGACGTGCAAATTTTCAACATAGATACCTCTACATTCCTGGAAATTGCACTTTCAGTCTCAAGAATAATTTTTGAAAGCAGTGTTTTCAACAGAATAACATGCCCCAAGCCTGCTGGTGCCTCAAACGGCTAGACATAGCATCATATTAAACAGCACCCCATTTAATCCATCATTCCCATTAGTCTACCCCTCCTCATGCCAATACCCTACACCACTAGATACATGGAGCTACACTCAGAAAAAGCCACTCTTTTAAAAACAAATAGTGGAGGGGTGCCTAGGCCTAGGTTGTGTTTCTCTAAACAGAAGAAATTTTTCTAAAAAACGGCCGGAAAATGATTTATTTTTAGTAATGTTTTTTCGCGGGCTGGATCTAAATCTTTAGCTGTGAACTTTTTCAGGTGTCACAAAACATGCAGGTCTTCCTAATGAAAGACTTCTCCAATTAAAGACTACTTTTCTGTGGTCTAAATTAAGAAATGTCTTTTATTTTTATTATTTTAATTATAGATCAAGCTACAGTACTATAAGACCTTGCAAACCCCAGTCCCAAAAGTGGTATTTAATTGGAAGGAGACCTGTATTTGTAATTGTGAATAGATTCATAATTCATATTGTACCAATTAATATGAATTACATTAGAGAAAGCAAAAGAAGCACATATGTTTACAACTAAACATTAATACAGTAAAGTTAAAATAAAATGCAGCAGTGAGATCCATGGAGGAGTTGCCGACAAACCTTCTATAAAATACCATGGAAAATGCAGAATAATATTTAATAGATGAGTGAATGAATGAATTATATAATAGTAAATTACAATAAAAAACAAAACATAAAATGCTGTTTTATTGATTGTTTAGTTATAAAATAATAAAGTACTAACTAATAATTATTTCACTGTTGAGAAATATCAAAGCAATGTTATTCAACAATTAGGACATTGAGTAAGGGACTACACAGACTGTCTGCATATATAAAAGTTCTTTAAAAGAATTGTTATTATTGAATTTAATGTACAATATTGAAAAATGTTTTGATTAGCAAGGTTATGCACTTGAATGGCAGAGAGAATTCTTGTATTTCAAAGTTACAAGAATGTAAGGTACAAATATAACAATATTGCAACCATATTGTTTAACAAATTTTATTTATACACCTTTCCAGAAATTGGGTATATATTAAGAACATGAAATATATAAACATACCTCATAATCAATGCCACGACGATTAAGAGCAACGTTCAAGGTAAAAGTCGAAGAGTCATGGTGAGGTCGCAGAAATGGTTGCTCATCTGGTTTGTAGCGCACAACAAAATTCATAACAGCAAAAGCCTAAAACAAGATGTGATGTAAATGAATAAAGAATGTTAAACCTCCTGTTGTTACACCTAAGCGCAAAAGTAAACTGAACACTGAATAGCTCATTCACAGTATCTAGGTAGCCTGATATTGTCATGCAAAACTGAGGAAGAGAAGCAGAGCCTTTTTTTAGTCTGATGTTAGTTCCGAAGTAAAAGAGATTTTATATCTTCCAATGATGTACAGATCAAAACATAACAAGTTTTGCAAATTTAAAGTCTTTACATTAAGATAGTAATATCCAAGTGTTTAAATCTACAAAACATCAATTTTTGCAAATTTAAAAACTTTTACAAAAACAACCATATTATCGTGTTTAAAATTTCAAATGTAGTATATTAAGTATAGAGTACAACAGCAGTGTCGTCACAACACCAGGTGGCACACTTTGTTGTCAACCAGACGTTGGTTACCATTCATTACGCCTGAATGACTTCATAATCTTAATGGTTTAGTATAGGCTTTCTTGAATAGGTATTTTAAAACCTAATAATTTACCATAAAAATGTACTAAAAACATGAAAGCTTGCATTATATTAGTTGTCGAACACACATTTAAACAACAATTAAAATTTACAAAGCAAAATTAAGATACAACATCTTAATAATTACGTTAGAAATTGGGATCAATGGTTTGTCAGTGCAGAAAATGGTGTCCAGTTGAAGGCATTTTGTGTCGCCGATAGCAACATCGAATGAACTCTATAAAATTCTAAGCTCGGATGAGGAGCTTTATATTGTATCTGAGTGCATTAATAACCAAAGGTCATGTGTTTGAAGCGCGTCTTGGTATTCAATTTTAAGACGTTTTAATTTAGTACAAATGAAAATTCTAATTATTTAAACGAGAGCATCAATGATGCAATAGCCCACTTGACAATAGCTGGAAATGTTTAAGTGCTGTCGGTGGGTGGAGGTTGTGTGGAGTGTTGTTATGTGTATTGAGCATAAAGAAAAACATTTAAAGTTAGAGTTAGTTGTATGCATCATCATAGACCTTTTTTGTTATGTTCACTTAATAGTTAGGAAAGGTGACAGCAGTGTCGTCACAACACCAGGTGGCACACTTTGTTGTCAACCAGACGTTGGTTACCATTCATTACGCCTGAATGACTTCATAATCTTAATGGTTTAGTATAGGCTTTCTTGAATAGGTATTTTAAAACCTAATAATTTACCATAAAAATGTACTAAAAACATGAAAGCTCGCATTATATTAGTTGTCGAACACACATTTAAACAACAATTAAAATTTACAAAGCAAAATTAAGATACAACATCTTAATAATTACGTTAGAAATTGGGATCAATGGTTTGTCAGTGCAGAAAATGGTGTCCAGTTGAAGGCATTTTGTGTCGCCGATAGCAACATTGAATGAACTCTATAAAATTCTAAGCTCGGATGAGGAGCTTTATATTGTATCTGAGTACATTGATTAATAGATCTTTCTTGGCCACTGATTAACAGATCCTTTTTTTTTAGTTTTTTCCTGCAGGTACAGTAGATTGCATAGTGATTAGTTTATAACTAGCAATGGGCTCAACTTGCCTGCAAAAAAAAAATCCCTCTTATTTTAGCTCCTTTTTTGGTCACTGATTTTTTTTTTCTGCAGGTAGGTTGGATAGTGATTAGCTTAGAACTTGCAATCTGCGGAACCAACCGGCAGAGAAATAAACTTGCTTCGGCACATGTACTTGACAGAAGTCACAGCCGATGCGACTGTACATTACTGGCATTACCACAAAATAGTTACCAACTTTAGAGATTTGAAATGCGTGACTATACCAGTTGAATGTGGAGGAAGGCCGCAAGGGTCCCAGTGGTCCAGTCACATACGGTAATCAACAGTTGGTTGTGACAATGAACGCGCAAGATCACACGCGACTACTAAATTCAAATAAGTGTGTGGTTGGCTTTGTTGTTTTGGTAGGAAAAGAGAAATTTTCTTGGTGAATTGATTCTCGAACGAGATAATCAAAAGCTCTCTAATGACTCAAGCTACTGCATGACTGTTCTTATATTTTTAATAAAACCAAGTTCTTCTATTTTTAAATAAACTTTCCCCTAAATTCCTGATAATTCTTTATCACGCATTGACATGTGCTAAATGCGGGACAAATTTATGATCGCGCACGCATGTGTTTCTGCAAAATGCGTGTTTCATCCAAAATCACTTTGAAATGCGAGACCGTCCCGCACAATGCGGTTGGTAACTATGCCACAAATAGGACACATAAGCACGGATAACGCGGTCGGCTAACGATGTGTTCTAAAGAACCAAAGATCATGTGTTTGAAGCGCGTCTTGGTATTCAATTTTAAGACGTTTTAATTTAGTACAAATGAACATTCTAATTATTTAAACGAGAGCATCAATGATGCAATAGCCCACTTGACAATAGCTGGCAATGTTTAAGTGCTGTCGGTGGGTGGAGGTTGTGTGGAGTGTTGTTATGTGTATTGAGCATAAAGAAAAAC